CACACAGGGATCTTTACCTCAGCCTCGGTCTCGGTTTTCTGATCCCCCTCTGGTCCTGGCGGGTTTGAGCGGGTGTAGGATTTAGGGTGTAGGGCAGAGTCTGACTGTTTGTCTGTCTGAGTCTCCGATCTCCTGAGTAATTATTGAAGAGAGGCAGGGGTTTATTTAAATTTAGGAACTAAATAAATTAAAGTTAATTGGATTAATTTAATTAGACCATACAAAAAATATTTTGAATCGATGATAAATTAATTACAAATGTGAACTGAATTATTAAACCCAGCCCTGCATTGCAGCAGCACCTAGAAGATGTATTCCCAGGACTCGCTACTTGTCAGTTTACAGCACTCCGACTGTGGCTTATGGTATTCAGCTCTTAGTCCCCAATAGTAATAGTTGTCGTGCAGAAATTGTTAATTAAGACTAAGACAGCATAGTTCATATCACTAATAAATAACATTAGACTCAGGTGGGGATGATCAGATGGTCCTGGTCACCGGTAGATGGTTACTACAAGTTTGATGTCACATGTTTGTAACAATGTTGAAATTTCTTCTTACTTAATCTTTCCGGGGATGCTCGTCGGATTATTCATACTCATGAAACATATCAAATAACCACTCAGACTCAGTTGATTAGATTGAAGCCTGAACTGGTGTTTCCCCCTAAACTGATAACTCAAATCTAGACTAGGCCGGGGTCCTGCAACACCCTTCACTCCGTGACGAGGCGTGCCGGGCTGATCCTGGCTGCGGGAGCCAGAAACCGGCTCCTTGGGCTGGACCACAGCAGGCTTCCCATCATTCTTCGGAATCTCGTCTTTGGCTGTTTCATCATCCGAGTCACCCGTGACTTTGTCAATGCAAATGTCCATCGGTGCCTTAGCATTATTGGAATCAGAAGCCTCACAGGCGTCTTGCTGAAACACCGACATGCACCACTTCTTCACTTTGCCCTTTGAGTCCGTGATGAAGGGGATGCCCTTGGCATACTTGATCATCCACTCTCCGCCGGATGGGGGCGCGCCGAGGTGCTTGACGACGCCTTTGCACTCCAGCATGGCATCGCCATCGCCTCAGTGCACATACTTGGCTAAGTGCCTCTACACATTAGACAGACAGACATTGAGGTGATCGATATCTACCCCAAACACATTGTGTTTGCATGAGTGCGCGAATCAAGAGTGTAATTATTGCAAGACTTTAATAGAATGTGACTAGAGGTTATTTATTTAGTCATTCGTAGATTCGTTCGTTGTCTGTCTGACTCACCGTGACAGACAGACACAGAGTCACACTCATAACGTAGCGAGTTTGGCCTGAAGTCAAATGTATTACTACATATTACATACTTGCCATCAACAACAGAATTGAACCAGCCCTCGGCCTTCAGTGGTTCAGATTCAGTATTATGATTAAACCCAGAACCCAGCAACATAGTCACTCTGACTCAGTGTTAACCCATGTAGTAATGTATTCGTAGACACAAGACTAATACTAAGACTTGAAGTAAGACAAGCTGTTGCTAGCACAGCATTCCGAAAGGCAACCTGAAACCTGAGCAATGATATGCCCCATGAGTCCGATCTCCCATTGCCCATTGTATAATTCCAGTAACACAGAACTAGTGGACTTTTTCTATCCAGACCTGACAAAGACCTAAGGACCTCCACGGTAGTCGAATTCAAACAGTCACTACTGTAGTCCACTTGTTATTTGTGCTGATCCGACCTTATATATTTATTTGTCATCGATGGACATTGACCCCTGGGTAGTTAAAGTTAGTTAGTTAGCTACAGCTACTATTGACAACTGAATTCAATTGTTATTCTTAGTTAGGTGGTCCGTGGTGGTTGTGGCAGTGCTGGTGCTAGTGCAAGCGAGCCACTCAAAGTCAAGAGTTTGAAGACATGGTTCTTCGACAATTCGATCTCCGTTTTCTTGATCAACTCCAGTAAGCTGCAGTTTGCACACGGCCTATTCAGGCGCTCGTATTCGGTCAGCAGCAGCCGGGCTTGGTCGCTCTTGTTGAACCTGGGCTGGGCATCACTGGGATTTGGTTCATTGGTAAGCTTAGTCGTGAGTAGTGTAGCACTGCACTAGCATGAGTTAGTAGCAGTCAGTAGGCAGCAGCAGCACAGTTGATTGGAGTAGCCGCAGCCTGGCAGTAGTAGTTACTTATTAACTAGCAGGCAGCTTTTCAGTAATTTAAATAAACTTGCAGTCTCAATCTCCTCACAAATGTCCAATGTTAATTAAATAATAGTTAAACAATAATATCATTTTAAAAGCAATCCCCAGCAAACTTAACGGATAATCGAAACTGAAACAACTTAACAAAATGTTTAAAGTTTAGACCATTCACGTCACTAGACAGACTAGCAGCAGTCAACACTCACTGACACTTGATTTTAACACCCATGTCTGAATAGGCAACTTAGGCTTGGGAGGCAATCATTAATTCAATAATCTGTCACACCTTAAATCAAACCTTAGATTCTTAAGAACCACATTGCAATCTAGTAACGTATCCAGAGCCACAGAAGGGCCCTTTCTGAACATCCCGAAGAAGCCGGCCCGGATGGTGCGGCTCCCCAAAGAATTCAGGAAGCTCAGGGAGCACTTCGTCGGCTCGACCGTCGCCATGAAGTCCTTGATGTGGCTGTCCTCAGCACTATAAGCTATATTAAAGTGTTCTCAAGCCATCGATCAGTGAAATCTGGGTGAAGGTAAGGGTTGGTACACTAGCTACATAAGCTGAGTACTGCAGCTGCTTAGCTGTTGGTTTGTCTGTGGCTTTTGTACTTAACAAGTCAGATCGACAGCTGGCATCGTTTCTAACTAAATTTATGTTGCTGCAGCTGTTTGTTATTGTTGTTGTGTTGTTGTCATTGTCGCTCTTGTGGCTATCGTCATCGTGTCAGTAAGTTGTTACTGCTGAAGACGATGAATCTCATTGTTCTATAGCCTTGCTGTTGACAATGCAGCAATGCATCAGCAGTATGGCGTCCCTAAAAGTTTCAAGTGGTTGTTGAAACGATGATTATGTTATCAATCAATCACTGCAAAACCAGGGGACACTCCGACCTTGACCTCATCATCTTTTATTTTTATTGCTAACCTGTAACCTAACCTAACCCGCGTTAACCCGAGTCGAGTCTACTCACTCACACCATTGTCATTGTCCATTGTCCATGACGTGACATTGCCCAGGGCCCCGCACTATTCAATCAACGATTGCCAATCGAACTATTATTACTTAATTTTGAATGGAAACAGCATTTCAATTTCAGATCATGTTATTATTAGTATTGGAATGCAAGCCCTACATCACATACTGATGGCCCGGATGTAACAATACTCATTAATGTCATACGCTACTATTTATTCTGAGTCTGATCTAAATCTAAGCTTCTTATTAGATTTTAACAGCCGGGGCTCCGGAACCTTCCTCCAGCAGGTGAAGGATGTACTCAGCGTGGTCACATCACCCTTCTTTGCTCGTGGTTTGGACCCCACGGCCTTGGGCTTCTTGCCCCGACCACTAACAGATAATTCGGGTTCGGATGCGGCTGCTGCGTCGTGGGCCAGCAAGTTTTCCCCGTGTTCCCCCAGTTGGTCTAGGAGGGTGCACGCCATGTTTCCGAGCTCAGATCAGAGGCCCGGAGTTCGGAGCCCCGCACCGGGGGGCAGGATCAAAGATAAAGCTCACTTCACCTTTTGATGGAGACAGCAACACAGGACTCGATGACAGGAAATGTGAAAGTGCACTGGCCACTAATTAACTGTACCTCAATTCAAGCAGCCACCACAGGCCTGCAACTCCACTCTCTCACAGCATGCCTAATGGCAGAAATGAACACCATGTGGAGTCCAGACTGCTGCTACCTGCTGCTGCCGGGCTGACACCCTTCCTATTTTCAGTGTCTCTCTGCGCGTGTCTGAGTCTCTGTCTGTGACCAGGGATTGCCGCCCTGCCAGACCCGGGGTCCCAACATATCCATTCATTCTGCACATGGGTCGGACCTCAGAAATCACAACCAGCCAGTCAAGTTCAGACATCCAGCACAGGTAGCCGGGATGCTACCCACAAAAATATGTGTGAGTCCAATCAGAATCAGACAGACCATGACCCTGCCTGCAATGCGGAATGCTGCATTGACCCTGACCTGTTAATGTCTATTATTATTAAATTATGCATTCTTAATTTAAAAGTTGCCGAACAGTATGAGGATTGTTACTTTACGTGTTAAACTCTCTTAAGTCCGCCGAGCTTAGTTGAACTTTTAAACCGTATTATACTATACTAAACATTTATGTATGTTGTTACTAATAATATTTAAAAAATACTAAGTGTCATTGAATTAATTCAATATTTTTTAGTGTTTACAAGCAGTCGGGTCAGCTTAAATTCTTAAGATCAACATAAGCACAGGTTGGATTTCGGAAGCTGGAAGAACCTATGATTTGGGGACTCTACTACTGATACTGAGCTGCTATTGTTCTTACGATTGGCAAAGTCGTGGCCTGAGCGAATCTGTCTGTCTGTCTGTATTCTGTATTTGCCTGTTAATAGTTAAACCAGTTACTTCAAGTTACTTGCTGCCTACATTTCATTTAATTAGCTGGCTTTAACTAGTGGCACCGTCGTACCAGACAATGACAATGACAAGTAAGGGTAGTTTATTCATATTGAACGGTCTGATTGTTTCAATTCAATTTATGATAATAATATTATTAGTTGCTAGTCTTGTCTTGTTGTTACACATTGTTTACCATTAAACAGCTTTATATTAATCTATTTTATTAATAGGGAATGACAATGACTAAATCAAGGCTTGTGGTATTAAGTATACTTCGACTTGCACCAGTCGGCAGCTGCAGACACGGATCAAGGACATTGCATCACAGTGTTCATTAAGCCTCAAGGCTTCATTCATCATAGTCTGAAGCCGTCCTACTTTGACTTTGTCCCTGAGAACTGAGACCAATCAGTGAAACTCAGCGCGGGCCGAAGCAGCTCAAACTGATGAGTTGCATGATGCCACATGTCGTGAAGTGCATACTGTTGCCGCACAAATCCGATGCCCGCTGGATGTCAGTGGCCCCAAGCATTGGCACGTCCATACCCTCTGCCACTTCATGTGTGCATGGAAACCCCATGGAACACAAACGCTCCTTCGAGGTAAGCCATCTGCCCTGGCCGGGCAGCCAATACAGCCCACTGCGAGCTGTCGTCCGATAGGTCGGGATCTTACCGGAAGAGGCTGACCATGTGCAGTACTGGGCAGAGTCACCGAGGTAGTACACCAGGTTAGGGTTCTGGCACGGGTGTTGACCCCATTGCTTGGTATACTTGTCATCCAACTGCTGCTTGCACAACAACTCTCTGACATTCAGTAGCTGCTGGAATTTTCCCACAGGAGGAACGGTCCTCTTGCGTCGTCTCGCCAAGGCTGCTGCCTCCAAGTGCAGCTCGGGTTCTGAAGCGACGAGGAAGTCCGACACCGTGGCCCCTGGCAGCTTGGCGAAGGTAGATTTCAGCGAGTCGAGGAGCTCGAAGGGATCATGCAAGCAGACCGACTCGTCCCTGTGTGACCCAATCACCCAAGTGCGAAACCGAGACAAGCCCCTGTAACCGAAGTCCGATGGCTCAGAGAACATCTGGTAGAAGTCGTGGTCCGGGTGCGTGTCCTCCAGCATGCCCATGTCCAGGTCCTGGTGGATAGTAGTTTTCATAGTTCAGTCAGAGTCCAGATGATACCTTCATAAATACCGGATTCAGAATCAGAACTTAACTCACTCAGTCAGTCAGTCAGCCTCGACTCAGGTATGTGTGGAAACGATAAACATTTGAAACATAAGCTTTGACTTGACAGACAAGTTTCCAACTATTCCAGAAATTGATTAGTTCTGTCTATAATTCATATTTTACAAATCGACTTGACTAATTTTAATTAGTTTCTTAGATAGTCTGTTGTTCGGTAATTCGGTAACCTATTTGATGACCCACTGACTCCTCTCAGGTCGGGCCTCTGACTTTGGTGTCGGGAGGTGTCGGTCGTTCTCGACTCGATTCGACGGCAAGGAAATAATTAAATAACCTAACAGAGTCATCACAACTTCTTGAACTAACTAAGTGGGTAGTTAGCACAGCAATGTATGTAGTCCATGACTCATGCGTTGCTGAGATCAGACTTTCTTTAGTATAGTAACAGTCAGTCAGTAGGGGAATATTACAAGTACAATTTAAATTTTGATAGTGTCGAGTGTAAGTATAAGTACGAAGTTAAGGTCATGAAGTGAAGTAGATGTAAAAGTTTAGCAGTTTAGCAGTAGTAGTTAGTAGGAGAGGTAGCAGTAGTAGTAAGTCAAGTTGTAGTAGTAGTAGTAGTAGTAGTAGTAGTAGTAGTAGTAGTAGTAGCAGTAGCAGTAGCAGTAGTAGTAGTAGTAGTAGTAGTAGTAGTAGTGATAGTAAATAAATAGTAGTAGTAGTCGTAGTTACTACGACTACTACTACTATTTATTTACTAAGTAGTAGTAGTAGTAGCAGTAGTAGTAGTAACTAGTAACGGTCCTTGGTGCACTCCACCAGGATCAAGGGAGTTCGCTTTGTCGTCACGAACCGTCCATGGGCAATGTACACAGTGTTTGTGTCTCCAGCCCTCTTCAGCCTCTTGCCTGCTGAGCTCATATCAGGACAGGGGAGGCCGCTGACATCGAAGATCGGACGTGGCAGAGGACAGCTCGTTCGATGGATCTTGCATTCCATGCTAGAGACCAGTTCTGCATTGCTCCCGGCATGTAGGCGCTGAGAGTAACTCATTGCCTCACCGTACCAAGACCCTCCAAGCAGACCCCTGATATCTCCGAAAAGATTTGGCTCCACTCCATGTCCAGATATTTTCTGACACCAGCGCATCGACTCCAACAGTAGCTGCTGGCAGGACTCGCTGTATTCCTGAGCAGGATGGGTGTGTCTGCATTAGTAAAAGAGTCGAGCCATAGTCAGATACTCAGGTCCTTCACTGTAAGTAATCTTAGATTCCTATTACCACCAACTCGGACTCGCCTGTTGAGTTCTTTTTTGGCGGTGCGCGTTGCTATCGTGATTATTCTTAGATACTATTAGAGTCTTGGTGTAAGTAAGTGTAGTGTAAGTAGGCTAATCAAAATTGTTGCATCCGGGATCCGAACAGTGCAACATTTTTCTTCAATTAATGTTGAGTAGTTAGTAAATTAGTACCTCGTTAAATAATTATTAGAACACGTCACATGGGGACGGGGGATGACGGATGCGAGGCATGCTGGGGCAACCTGGGCCCACTGGGTGCCTACAGTACAATGGTAATTTAGTAATCAATAATCAATAATCAAACCGACGGATTTACAATAATCCAAATACTCAAATCAGACCAGAAATCTTCAAATCCTCAATTCAATGTCAATGACTCAAATCCCGGTAGTTAACGTATTGTAATGTAATCAGCAAAGTTACCAAGTTAAGGTCGTGATCATTAGTCAAGTTCGGAATTCATGGGTTTAATAAATATATTATTATTATTATTACCCCAGGGCCAATGCCAAATGCCCTGCCACTAATACTAATAAACCGGTAATGGGGATGATTCAACTCCTATTATTAAACACACTTACACTTACAGTATTACACTGATGGTAGACCTGACATATTCTAAGAAACCTCACAGTATCAGTAGAGACTCCCATAGTCCAACACACGGAACACTCACGTGGAACGGCAGCTTCCCGGACTTGTTGATGTCCCGTTCCAGGACTGCCCTGGACATCTCAGCTGTTCCACTGCCCGAACAGAAGCTAGTCGCGCAGGATGCGTGGTGGAGCCAGGAGTCCTGGAATGCAGCTATCTTTGCAAGTCGAACTGTTGGAACTTCGAAGCTGCTTAAACGGCAAGGTCTAAATTCAAGTCAGTGGATTTATGTCATGTTGGAGCTGTGGCCTGCATCGTCCTCTCTTCTAAAAGTTGCGAAGTCTTCTCCCACGCAATGCTGATGCCCCCAGCAACTGTCTGCAGAGACGTCCAAGAATGATCCTTTGGCAGTGGTGGCTACCGGTTGCAGATGGGGCTAGGCCAGACATGACAGACTACCTTTGTCCAAGATATTCTTATGAACTATTCGGATCAGAAGCTCAATCAATGGGTATCTACTTCAAGTCTTCGGTATTACAGGCAACATCGACATCAGTCAGTCAGTCTACAGCTAAGATCTGAGGTTAACGGCAAGGGTCCCAGGATTACTAAAATCACTATTAATTCCCAGGGCTCAGTTACTCAGGACATTATTACTACCTCTAGAATCATAACTACGACTGCACCCCTGTCACAGGAATCCGTCCTACGGACATGATCCGACACCTGCTGCAACGAACAGTTGAACAACGTAACGAACCTGAGTCAAATGTCCACGTGACGGTATGCTTTTGCAGACCCCCATACCCCAATAAATAGCTGAATATGTACAATTCAGATTTCAGCCAGAGAGCAGTCCCAAATGCTGAGCTTTGGGTCAAAGGAATCGAGCTTCTGTCGGAAGCTGATGACGAAGCACTATCAGCTGGCTCTGACAGTGGAGCATCCTGAGGTGGTGTGCCTGTGACCCGGCCAGCAGCTGACGACGACGCTTCTTGACAAGCATCAACGCCCAACTCCAGGGCACGCTTCTTCGACTCCAGAGACATCGAACCCATGGCTTAGACTTAGCCTTAACTATAACTAAGTCTAAGTGATTAGGACAGGGACTCAGGACAGTACAGGCGGAGGGCTAGATTATTGAATCGAAGTTGCATCCAGCCACTGCCTGCCACTACATATAAAGCAATCATAACTCCGATTACAAATTACACTAGTATTTATTAATAGTTAGTTAGTTAACTGTCAGACTGTGTCATGTCACGACAAAGTCTAAAGTAATACGCTGTTTACCTAAAACGATTCAGAACTCAGGCAGGCTCAGGGGTCAAGCCTTCAGCTTCCTGGAATTCCTGGGTCACTCGTCATTGATTCTCACTGGCAGGGGTAGCTGGGGTAGCAGGATTAGGAGTAAATTAGCTGAGCTTAATGCCTCTACATATTTAGGAATATTACTATTTTCGATTATTGATTATTATTCCTTCGCTTACTAAAGGCTCGGCTCGCTGCCAGATGCCTACTCTGCAGTGCAGCAAAGTGCTGCAACGCTGACTCTGGTGGCACGCGCGGCAAACGGGTGAGTCGGCAGCTGTGAAAAAGAGATGCACAGGTGAATGTCAAGATGCACTGAACTGAGGGGTTCAGGAGTCCATGCCAAGCATCCGGGGACATTGCAACACATTCCATCGGTAGTCACGAGCGAAAGCTGTTTCAGGCTTTGATTCATGTCTGAGCAGAGCAGCACTGTTGTGGTCTAGTGCAGATCGAGTCGCGAGCGGTGGGCCGTAGGCTCCCAGGTTTGCACCCCGACCTTAAATTAGCAGATTCATTGTCATTGACATTGAATTTGCAATGATTGGTTGATTCTTTTATTTGATTCGATGTTGACAGTTGACGTTGCCTGAATTTACTTTATAAGTTATCAATCAATGGGCCCAATGGATCAGCTGAGGGACCTGGACTGGAATCCGGCACTGCCTGACTACCTGATTGAAGCTTTATCGAACATTAACCATAAATTATTCTCGGAACCTTATTTATGATAATCTCAAACTCAAAGCAACACCGGATATGAATTACCTGTTTCCGAATGACCGGCTGTGCTGCCAAGTTACTTGCTTTATTATTATTTATTGCAGACAGTCGACAGTCCCGGACTGTAACCTGGACCGAACTACTGACCGACTGGTCGATTCATTGTGTGTTTGACTGGTCAATAATAGTAATAATAATATCCTGGAGCAGCTTATTAATTATTTAAAGTTACTGTAATTTTACTGCTAGTCTGTGTTTCTGCATCTCGGTTTAATTTAATTTATTAATAAATAGATAACTGTATAGTATTGTAACATTAAACTTTACTTACTACTGTCTTAGATTATTATTCTAAAATTTTTATACAATTGTTATTATCAGCTGACGAATGCAATACTCTCAGTAAAGCCACACCTGGCACGGCTCAAAATGACGTCACACATCTTGCAGTCGAGGTGCTGTAGAACTTGTAACCCTCAACGGAAACCTTCTGCAGTGAGGTGCCGTCGAAGCTGACCTAAAAGTCCAGGAGGATGGCACCACTGACTGACTACTCCTATGCCTATTGAATTGCTACTACATCACTAACTCCCCCTGACAATGGCAGTCGACGGTGATCGTCAGTGGCAATCGTCAATGAACTCAGTCACTCATGACAATGAGGAGTCAAATTGTCAGACTGAACCAATTCAATTATAACTATATATTCGCTTAATGAGTGACATGATTTGTAAAATTACAATCACCACCCCTGTCAGAGCAGAGCGGCATGGAGCTGTGCATGTTCTTGAAATGCTTTCCGCGCGGTGTGCAGGTAGACCTCCTGAGCTGAGAGAGTCGGTTCACGATTCTCGATACAACATTAATAGAGAATCTGGCATTCAACGGTACTTTTAATTAACTGTCATCTGGATCCACGTTTGTGGTCTGGTCTAGAGTGTAAGCCGTCTTAAATTAAAGTCTTAACAACTTAAGTCTGTCTTAGCCAGGAAACCATGTCCCAAGCAGCCAGGATGAAGCTTGGTGGAAGGAGCCTTCGCCAGCAGGGCCTTCCGCAGAGTGTAATACCTCGGCGGATTGCGTTTTTTTATATAATTTGGTAGTGTGCCTGCATTACTAATTAATTCATAGTAAATATTAGTCTTTATTTATGGACTGGAGTGCAGCACTGACTGTCTGACTACTGACTGACTGAGATAAGATATAATTATAGATTCCCCCAGCAATTTAAATTTAGATTTGGTCTTTATAATTTTGCTCATTATTAATTATTAGCCTAGCAGTCGTCCGGAAGTGACTCACACGGTCGATAATAATGAAACTAATTAAATTAGCATTATTGTTAATTAGAAAATCACGGTTCTCTGCAATGAGTGTTAATTAATGGGTAGGAAATTACTGTTATTGTTATTGCACATGGCAAACGTTACAACATGCGGCAGTTGCTAATGACAGAAAAGCGTGGGTCGGGATGATGTGTAGTCCTGAATAGTTGCCACCATCGTCAATGTCAATTCGGGATACTGCGAAACTTATAACATTATAAGTCTTAGTGCTGCCACGAAGCTCGCCGTCCCTCACACTGTCGATAATCGCCAGTTTCTCTGCAGCACGAAGTGGGCTGGCTTTCTTACTTGCCCCCACTTTGCGGTCCACGGTCGATGAGAGGGTGGTGAGGTGAGGCACATTCTCATCCTCGTCGGCTAGAATTGAAATCACAACGATAGCAGTTCGTTAACAGGCACTGCCTGAGGAGGGTCACTTTGCACTGGGCCTGGTCACGAATCTCGTAATGGTAGAACCTCCTGAATGACTAATGATTTAATAATGATAGAATGAATCTGTCAGGCTGTCCTGGAGTCCTGTCTGTCAGGTCATTCAGTCTGAACCATAATTTACAGATTCACTGATTAATTAATGTCGTCTCCTGACTGACTCTGATTACTTACGTTACTACTACTGTTCAGGGGTCCACTGACAGTAAATTCAGCAACGTGTTACCAGTTACTACCCGGCCTCCCAACAAATGTGAACCGGCAGCTGGGGAATAGCAATACCACTGAGACTGCAACACACGAGCTCAGACTTCCAGGATTCCAAGACTCCGGGTCACTGACTGTCCAGACTGGAGGGTCTGAGCTGGGACCGACCAGAATCATAATAGTACCGAAACACCGACCCACAATGAATGCAATCCGTAGCCAAGAATCAGCGAAAAACCAGGAAACCAAGTTCCAAGGACCGAACTTAACCTAACTGACGTTACGACTTACAGTACAGCTCTGAATATTATTAAACACGAACGACTTTAAGACTTTATCTTGCTGTCGGATGGTCAATAATGACCTCGGGACACGCTAATTATTTAGTTAAATTAAATGTTAAATTAATTATTCTGAGTCGAACAGTTCTTTCTGAACTTCTGAACTATTATTCAGAATTCTCTAAACTACAGAATTTAAATCAATCAATGTTAATGCCAGAATCTTCAGAGTCATAACTTAATAACTGCGGATGATACTGACAAATATTGTATTACATGGCTAGTTTACCCAATTATTTCTGTCTAATTAGTTAGTTAAAAATTCATTAGTCATTCCCTTGCTCGACCCAGATCAGGCAGGCCACGAGAAAGGATGCCAACTGGGTCAGGATGCCGCACACGTTGTTGGCTAGCCGCCGCACCCTCCCATCAGCCCAATCGTGTTTCCTGGGCCAGAGTCGGAGTTACTCAGTGATAATCTTCTGTAATTACTTACTGTACTAGTACAATCACTTATGAGCCGGATGTTTCGGAATTTTGGGCTCGTGTGAGAACTGAACAGACCAGCAGTGACAAATCAGGCAACAATACAGCTCTCACTGCATTGATGATTCCTCCCTGATTTGATCTAAGTGTCATTGACAATTGACCTGGGTGGGTGAGCGTTTTTACATGACAGACCTGCAATATTTAATTATATCCCAGTCCCCTGAATGATTATTTATTCACCGAACACTGGATTTGATTTGAAACTTCTGGTGTCTGAAATCCCCAACTGCCAATTAAATATTCCGAAATGCCCATGTGCTAACCTGTACATCACTGTAGTAGTTACTTAACTT